GTGCGTGCGTGCGTGCGTGCGTGGTGCGTGCGTTGCGTGCGTTCGCCGTGCGTGCGTGCGTGCGTGCGTTCGTTCGTGCGTGCGTGCGTGCGTGCGTGGGGGTGTGTGTGTGTGTGTGTGTGTGTGTGTGTGTGTGTGTGTGTGTGTGTGTGTGTGTGTGCGTGTGTGTGTGTGGTGTGTGTGTGTGTGTGTGTGTGTGTGTGTGTGTGTGTGTGTGTGTTTGTTTTAAAGGTGCTCTTGTGTTGTCCTTGTTCAGACGCACTGCTCTTTGCCTCCTTCTGCGTTTGTGTTGCTTTTGATCCAGCATTTGCCTCTCTTTTTGAGGTGTTCCTCTTTTCTCCTATGCCTGGGCAGAAGGTAAAACTTCGTCCGCTACCTTGGTTTTATTTCCGTTTTCATTGTTCTTTGCGTCCTTTGTCGTTTCTCTGGGTTTTGATCAAGCATTTGCCTGTGTTTTTGAGGTGTTCTTCTTTTGTCCTGTGCCTGGGTGGAGATAGAGGTCCGTCACCTTGTTGCTTTTATTTCCGTTTGCATTGCTGTTTGCAAGCTTGTTCGTGTTTCTTGGCAGAGCATTTGCCTATGTTTTTGGGCTGTTCTCCTTTTGTTATGCCTGGGTAGGAGAGAAACTCCATGACCTATTTTGCTTGTATTTCTGATTTCATTGCTCTTTGCCTCCTTCTGCGTTTGTGTTGCTTTTGATCCAGCATTTGCCTCTCTTTTTGAGGTGTTCCTCTTTTCTCCTATGCCTGGGCAGGAGGTAAAACTCCGTCCGCTACCTTGGTTTTATTTCCGTTTTCATTCTTTGCGTCCTTTGTCGTTTCTCTGGGTTTTGATCAAGCGTTTGCCTGTGTTTTTGAGGTGTTCTTCTTTTGTCCTATGCCTGGGCGGGAGATAGAACTCCGTCACCTACATTGCTTTTATTTCCGTTTGCATTGCTGTTTGCATGCTTGTTCGTGATTTTTGGCATAGCATTTGCCTGTGTTTTTGAGCTGTTCTCCTTGTCATTTGTTCTGCCTGAGTAGGAGAGAAACTCCGTGACCTATTTTGCTTGTATTTCTGATTTCATTGCTCTTTGCCTCCTTCTGCGTTTGTGTTGCTTTTGATCCAGCCTTTGCCTCTCTTTTTGAGGTGTTCCTCTTTTCTCCTATGCCTGGGCAGGAGGTAAAACTCCGTCCGCTACCTTGGTTTTATTTCCGTTTTCATTGTTCTTTGCGTCCTTTGTCGTTTCTCTGGGTTTTGATCAAGCATTTGCCTGTGTTTTTGAGGTGTTCTTCTTTTGTCCTATGCCTGGGCGGGAGATAGAACTCCGTCACCTACATTGCTTGTATTTCCGTTTGCATTGCTGTTTGCATGCTTGTTCGTGTTTTTTGGCATAGCATTTGCCTGTGTTTTTGAGCTGTTCTCCTTGTCATTTGTTCTGCCTGAGTAGGAGAGAAACTCCGTGACCTATTTTGCTTTGTATTTCTGATTTCATTGCTCTTTGCCTCCTTCTGCGTTTGTGTTGCTTTTGATCCAGCATTTGCCTCTCTTTTTGAGGCGTTCCTCTTTTCTCCTATGCCTGGGCAGGAGGTAAAACTCCGTCCGCTACCTTGGATTTATTTCCGTTTTCATTCTTTGCGTCCTTTGTCGTTTCTCTGGGTTTTGATCAAGCATTTGCCTGTGTTTTTGAGGTGTTCTTCTTTTGTCCTATGCCTGGGTGGGAGAAAGAACTCCGTCACCTACGTTGCTTTCATTTCCGTTTGCATTGCTGTTTGCATGCTTGTTCGTGTTTTTTGGCATAGCATTTGCCTATGTTTTTGAGCTGTTCTCCTTTTAATTTGTTCTGCCTGAGTAGGAGAGAAACTCCGTGACCTATTTTGCTTGTATTTCTGATTTCATTGTTCTTTGCGTGCTTCTTCGTTTCTGTTGTCTTTGCTCCATCGTTTGCCTATGTTTTTGAGGTGTTCGTCATGTCGGGCGTGTGACCCCAACCAACCCGCTTCGTGAACCTCGCGCGCCGTTTGAAGCCTCGCTTCCAAACGCTCTTCTGACCGACCCCTGGCTCGCAATCCAAACTTTGCCGTTGTGCTGCTCGCAAGGCTAAATGCCCTGGATTAGCCGAAGGATTTGAGCCATGGGGGCCCTTCTAAGGGAGCATAGGGCACCGGGATTCGGTGGAATTTGGAATCTGCCCACTTTGACGCTTAGAACAAAGCAAAAAAGGCCCGACTCAACAGGACGTATAGAACAACGCAAAACGCAAGTTTTAAAACTTCCTCCTCCGCCGGTCTTTGGGTCGGTCGCCCGCTTCTCCCACCCTCCGCCGGTCCTTGGGTCGGTCGCCCTGTTTTTGCAGGATCCGCGTTGGTTCTCGGGGTGCCGGTTGCCCCGGGGGGTCCTTGGGTCCCCCTCCCGTGGGCCTTTATGCAAGCACATGGGGACAGATTCTAAATTCATCTAGGTTTTTCTAGTTGGGGGGGCTGCCCTGCTTGGTCCCTTCCTGGGACCCTGCAGGGGCCCCACAAAACTGATACGGAGTTACAGGTAAACTTAACAAATTTGTATTTTTCTTTCCTCGCTCACTTGCCCGCAGCCGCCTCAAGGGTCAGGAATCCTATCAGAGTGCCCAGCCTAGGTATGCACAGTAGGACACTCTGAGGCTGTACAGTCTGTACATGAACGAAGCCATGCCGCCAAACACCCACACCACCCGAACCCCACATCACCCCAACCACCCACATGACCCGAACCACCAAGACCGCCCCAAGCCACCCGCCCCCTGAGCCACCCACGCTGACGAGCCGCCATCCGCACCGCCCGCCACCAGTGTGAAGGCCCCCCCCTCTCCCAAAAGGCTGCGAACTAGCCCTAAACCCTAAACCCTCATAGCGTCATCCCTGCAAAGGGCGCCCAAATCCTCCAACTACCCCAAGCTGCCCAAGCCGAAGCCACCCAAGAAACTCCCTAAGCCCTGAGGCACCCTAAAATGGCGGGGGGTGGGGTCGGCGGCACTGGCGGTAGCCATTAAATAATCTAATCCCAAATAAGACCCAAACCCAAAGCATCGCAAACCTCTGCTGAGCTGCGAGGTTCATACGGTCTCAAGCTTCCATTTCCTATCGATATAGCCTCATCTGCATTGATTCACATACGCCTCGCACGTCAGACATGTTAGGTTACTATCTGCAGTTTAGGCGCCGGAGGCGGATTGCGCTTTCAAAATTCGGCAGCTGCCTCGCGGCTGGCATGGGACCGAAGGCTGCGTGCCCATTTGCAGGTGCACGCAAGCAAACTGTTGGTTGGCTGTTCTGATGTCTAGTCCCGGCCCCTTCTCCTAGTAATTCAAGTTTTGCTGGCAGCAACGCAGCTTAGTGCCAGAGCCCACAGCACGCGGCCAAATTTGAGCCTACTACTGGAGATTCAGAAGTTGCAGCATGCCTCATCAGTTCTTGCACAGCATATCAATGTAGTTACTCAGGAAGCTGAAAGAAACGGAGTTGTGACTACTGAGGTGCATTTCCATCCAACGAGAAGAGACCGGAGGCATAAACACGCTAAGGGCTCATGATGTTGCAGTTGCAAGGTCGCGGGAACCGGGCTAGATGGGTCGAAAGTTCGGCCCAAGGACCTGCAAACACCCAAGGCGCTGTTCCGGACTTTGTGGTTCATACCGACACCGCAACAATGAATCTCAACAAAACGGCCGATGTTTGCCACTCTCCGTCGGCTTAGCGCTCTATGTTAACAACCGCAATTTCTAGCCCTCTGCTTTTCCAGCAGCTCTGACCGTGGAAGGCAGTTCCGGCTCGTGGGAAGCAGCTGCCTGGCATTCCAACGAGACGGTGCCCCATGTGAGAGATCGGTTTCGGCTTGTAAAGGCTGCTACTGAACCTGTCCACAGTCTGTCGTGCATCTGTACGAATCGTCGAGGAACTCAAGATCACGACATGTCAATGCCCTTTGCACTTGCACTCGTACCATGGTCAGGTGCTGGAAGTCTAGACGTACTTGACAAAACCGGACCTTGCTGACACAACACTGGGAAGATAGGTGGTCATGCTGCCACAACATTCGTCAACACGCACCAACATTCACCGCAAGAGCTGACGCAACAGAAAGATCTGCCAGCCTGCCACAGGAAATAGTTCACAGAGCAACTGGAGGCTTACACACGACCCCTTTCCTCGGCAGGAGAGGAGCGGGGGGGGTCCTGGCACCGAAAACGACAAGAGCAGAGCAACGGCTGAGCTTTTCATTACGGATCGGCAGCCTAAACAGCATGAGCGGCTCATGTGGCAGATCAGCTGCCGCCAGCTGTTGAACATTCTGCGCTCTCTGCGCATGGCTGGTTCAGGCGATCTGGGCCGATGGCTGGGGCTGTTGCCTGTGGGGCCACTTGCCAACACCTCTGTCGCAATCTACGCCATCCTGACATGCCCTCCGAGCGCAGGTTCATGTTCAGCGCGTGCTGCCGCACTAACCTAAGAAACCGCACAGTACCAGGTGAGCCCCAAACCTGCTCTAGCAGCGGGGAGTGATAAGAGGCAAGAAACCGAATGAAGCGAAACACAGCCCCCCCCCGCCCCTGGCTGCCAAACATGGCCCAGCCCTTGCACCATCGGGGGGGTTGAAGAATTCAGGGAAGCCCCATGTTGAGAGCCACTGAAGGCCCTCGCCAATTTGAAGGATGCTCCTTCTTCATGGCTGCTTCACTTCAGTATCCTGAATGGAACACGGTGAGTTGAACAAAGGACAGCCTGGCAAAGCCTGTCTGTTGGCGAAGTGGTTCCATCCAAGGCAGGTGAGATCAATGTCAGAAACATCAAGCGCAAACCCACACCCTACACTATCAAGTCTTGCATGCCTCCCGCAACCTTCACTCCATGACCGGCATATTGGGCTCTTGCTGCGAGGCCTCTGCGGCACTGCCCCATTTGGCTTTTGTAGCGAACTCGGCTTTTCAAGGAACTGTGCATTCATGGCCCACGCTGGCACAAGGAGGTAACGTAAGGCTACGACGAATTTCAGCCTCTCTGAGGCCGTCTTTTCGCCAGTTGGCCGAAGAGCCCCGACGCCGCCGCCGGGGCTCCTCCGCGCGCCTGCGCCACAGCTTTGCTCTTGGCAGCGTGGGCTTTGTGGCTTTATACGCGCGGCAACGTTCCCTGTAGACACTTCAATGGGCCTGAGTCCGTTTGCCACTCCATGGACTGCAGGGAAGATCTCATCCAGGTCCGCGCGAGGAACCTGGCAAAAAGGAAGAGAAGAGCTGGGGGAGCCTTGCGGCAAACACAACAATGCGAACGAGGTGACTTAGTGTGCGCTCGCTGCACCTGCCCGCTCACACTTGGACAAGCCAGGGCTTCGTCCAACATCCGCACATGGGCACGCCGAACTCTTTCCGTCATGGTAGGCAACGCTGTGAAGATCAGGACAACGCTTAACTCAGCTGACGAGGTGGAGCGAAGAGGTGGAACGACTCGCATGACGGAGAGCTTCTCAGAGGAACTGGCATCGATGGCCCACGCTGGCTCAAGAGAAGGTAAACGTAAGGCGATCACGAGTGTCAGCCTCTGTTGGGCCGTCTCTTCGCCAATCGGCCGAGCCGGGCTCCTCCGCCTCTTTGCAGTTCGTGGCTGCACGCGCTCCCTGTGGAGTCTTGAGGACTTCAGTACCCCGCTTCCATCTCACTCCTACGATCCAGAAGCAGTTGGAATGGCTCACAAACGCTGCAAAATCCTGAGGTCACCCTGAACCCCAAGCCCGGGTGGAGATAGAGCGTATCGACATGTGTGAAGAATGATGCTTCCTAACTGGTGGTGCTGACATCTGCTGACCACGCTGATGTTGGTGACACTAGCGATGATGCTGTGGAGGATATGGAGGGGGAGGAGGCGAGGCGAGCCGGAAAGGGGGAAAGCCAACCAACAACACGCACGCAGAAATTCTTAGCCATGACCGGCACGAAGAGGTGAAACAAAAACCCTAAACCCCAAAACCTAAGGGCGCAAAGAGAACGAAGAATTCAAGGTTGTCGGCTTCTGAGGGACACGCCGTCAGGAGCCGCAGTGATGCGGGTATTATGCGGGTATTGACGAGGAGCGCTGCCGGACGGGGCATCCCTCGCCGCATGTGCAAAACGTCCCATGTTGACTTAATGAGAACGTGCTAGAGCTGCGTACCTCCCGCGGCTCCCGCACCTCGTAGAATCCACACACCACCTGCTGACATTCGTTGAGATAGCAGGGACATGGATAACAGGATCTGCCAGGGGCCCCAGCCCCCCCCCCCACCCGCAAGGATCTCGTGGCCGCTCGCATTGAACATTCATGGTTTCCATTGGGTACGTGTTTTGTGTTGTCCGGGCTATTGCGTCGCTTAAGTTTCCCTATGAAGCTGAGGCCTTCGCAAAAGACAGACAACAGAAGCGTACAACAATCAGCCCAGAACCGAGCATTACATAAGACAAGGAATCGAAATCAAGGCCATGGCTTGGTTTGCTCGCAAAGAAAGGTGTTTAGACAAAGGTTAGATTGTTTGAGGTTTTGGTCCCTTACAGAACCCAAGAAGCCCTCGCGGCCAGCAGGCGTGCGCGTGGACGACACCTCGTCGTTTGCGCAATCGTGGCTGGTCTTAACGGGCGGGCTAGGGTCTTTTTTCTCCTTGGGAGCTCAGGGCGCTTCGAAGGGTTTGGGGTGCCAAGGGCTCACGAGGCTTAGGTTGCAGGTGTCTCGGGATTCGGGGCAACAGCCCCTGTTGAGCCCTAGCGTAAGGCTAAAGCTTGGCACTCGGCTCGGCCTAATGAGGTAGAGCTTGGGGTTTTAAGGTAAGGGTTTAGGGTCTTCGAGCTAGCAGGGCAGTGAGGATTCTGGAAAGATTGTAGGAGGAATGATGCATTGGCAGATGTCCTCCTTTTCCAAGTTTTGGGTTACGGAGCGCCTTACCCATTTTGGGACCATTTGTCCCAAAGATCTGCAAGCAAGAGCTCGCTCAAGACTTATATGTATCTGTTGCATGAGCCCACCCTGAACCCCTCACGCGCCACAGCAGGCACTCAAAAGGGCGGCAGGTTCTAGTATTGGGCTGACATCTGTCGATGACTTCACTCCTGTTCGACGCGCAAGTGAGAATAGCTCTGACAATCGCCCTAAACCCTAAACCCTGAACCCCTCGCGCCATATCAGCGGCTCGAATGTGCCCGGCTCGGCGTCCTCGCCAGGCACCTGCGGCGTTTGAGGGTTTAGGGCTTGGAGTTGAGGGTCTTGGCGGAAAAGGGCTTCAGGTTTAACGCTTGGAGGGTTAAGGGCTTGAGGGCGATGACAGGTTTAAGATGTTGGGTTTGGGTTTGGTGTTTGAGATTAGGATCTGGGGTGTATAGGTCCAGAAAACACCTTCTTTGGAGAACTGGGGATTCGAACCCTCAGCCAAAAAGTCTAGACTCTATGAAGGCAGGGCTTGGGGAGTTAGGGCTTGGAGTTACGCCGAGGAAAAACCTGGTGGTGGGGGTGAGGGAGGACAACAAATTCCTGGTATTCAAGCACTGATGCTTCATATGGGACGCAACCGCTCAAAACCGTTTTGTAAACCCCAATCACGTGACGTAGTCTTTTATTCCCCGACATGCCCAAGCAATGTGTCAACACTACGGGTTTGCGCGGCTCGTGGCAAGCCATTGGGGATTCACAAGTCCAACGTGCTCGTTTCTTCAGTCTCTCGGTCTCTCTCTCGCTCTCTCACTCACTCACTCACTCACTCACTCTCTCTCTCTCTCTCTCTCTCTCTCTCTCTCTCTCTATGGATAGGTATGATGTGTATATACGCGGACTGCAGGCTTGTGTGATTAGTGGGTAAACACATGCAACATAACCTCTTGCATCGATTGGCAAGTGGAATGTGGCAATTCGCAGAAGCAGAAGGAAACTCAGAGCCAGGTGGCAAGTTCTCATTCCACAGAGGCCCGAATGCCAGCTTATGTAGGGGTCGGACGTGCCACTGAGAGAGAATCCACACACAGCAAACGAGCCAAACACCCGCTTGAAAGGCAACCCAAACGGTGAAGATACGCAAAAAAATCCATGGGCCTACCTACTCAAGCCTGCTGGCAGAAATACAACCTGAACACTAAACCAGACACAGACCCCAGGCAGGTCTTGCAGACGTAGCGCCTTCGCCATTTAGCGAGCACTCGGAGCTGGCATCACTGCTATCATCCTGCGCCTCCACAGCTGAAGGGGGCTTAGGGTTTGCACCAGCAGCTTAGGTTTAGGGTTTGCGGTTGAAGGTTCAGCGTCTAGGGTTTAGGGCTTTCGATTTCGCCCAGTCCTCTGCCACAGAGTCCTGGGTGTGCGTCGACTTCTCGGCGTCCTTGTGAGACGCTCTGTGGAAAAGGGCTTCGCAGGCGCTTCTGGGACTCCAGGGTTCAAGGTTCACAGATGGAGCAGCGGGTTGCAAGCGCAGGGGTCTTGCCATGTTAGGGTCGCTCCTGGCCCTTGATTCGAGTTCCGCGCACATTCAAGCTGGCCACTTCCACTCCCGTTGACTCCCAGTATGGATCTGGCACACCCCACTCCTTGTGGGGTTAGGGCTTGCCATTCGCCACTTGCCCGCTCTTTCTTGCGATTAAGGCTTGCTCCTCTCCTGTTCGGGGGGGCTGGAGCTTAATCATAGTCTTTGCTGAGAGTTTGGGTCTCATGGCTTTTGGGGGATGTGGGCTTGCTCTTGGAAGAGAAAGAACATAAGTCCAAATTTCTTGCGTGCAACATTGCAAGGTTCACTGCCTCACCCACCCCTCTCATTCGGACATCGAGCTGAATGCACTAGCAGAAACCTAAGCCCACACTGGTCCAAATCCTCAACCCAAAAAAGTTGCACCTAAGCCCAAAAATGAAGAAGGAAGCCCAACAGGGATCCCAGACCCCTAAACACGTCAGCCGCGGAACAAGTGCAAGACAAGGCCTGCATTTAGGAGACACGTACGGTTTGAGGGTTTGGTTTTCAGGGCTTGCGGTCCAATGCCTTCGTGATAAGGATTTGCACAATCGTTGTCGCGGGGTTCTTGCATTGAAGAAGTCAGTTGCCCCCTGGATCCTTGCCCAGTGGACGCAGAAGACTCCAGACGACTGAGGCCAGGTCTGCACTGCTCCCTTCCGCAGTGCTCGTTGACGACATCCCTGCGGAGTGATGGCTTTGCTTGGGGTCAGGGACTGTTTGTCTCTGTCTGCAGTAAGACCCCTGAATCAAAGTTCTCGCAGGGCTGAAAAGGATGCCTGAAGAAGCTGATTCATAAGATCAATCAGCTTCTAATCTGCTTTACATCAGATGAAGTTTAACATAGTCATGAAGTTTTCAGCCACAAGTGGAAGTTCGTGGCATTTGTGGGCCCCCCAAAAAACTTTTTGAAGCCTCTGCAAAAACACGCAAAAATCTTCTGCTACGAGGCCAATCAAAGCCAAGCTTCCTACCAAAGCTTAGAATGTGAAACTCGTCAAGATAGCCAAGACTCGAAACTACAAGTCACGTGGGGACTGTTCTGTGTTGGGTGTTCTTGCAATGCAACCCACAACCTCAATGACAGCGCGCGAGCCCTGGCAGACTGAGGTCCTGTCGCAAATCCCTACACTGCACCAGAACCTTCCACATCTCATTTGTTCCATGATGACCACCAACATCTGAAAAGCCTCAGGCCCTGATACGCCCACCCCATCTTTTAAGGAAAACCTCCGGAAAGTCAAAGACCACTAGGCCCTTGAAGTAATATTCTCAAGCAACGTCAGCAAAGACCCGGGCGAAGACACGGGGGCTGCGGATTGGAAGTCACACCCAGGCACTTTGAAGCCAAAAGAAGCGGCGCGGCTTTGTTGCTGGACATGTCTGCTGAACCCATCGATCTTAGAGTATTTGTTCCAGTTCCGAAACCAAACGAAGCATCATTCACAGGAAGCTCGATGACTTCCTTCCTTCGGGTTTCGAACGGCAAAATTATCGAAATCAGAATGTGAATCGCCCTGGCATTCCAGAGCGTTTGCAACAAAAACTTCCCCAGCCTTGCCTCACATTCAGGCAATTGCAACTTGGACTTTGCTTCACCACGAACCGTCTTTTCGGACAACCCGAGAAACGAATTGCCGAAGCGGCTTAGGATGTGTTTTTGCAAGTCCATATCTGGAGCAACTCAAACAGCACCGTGGCCGGGCTCAATTTGATGATCCGTCACTGGACAAGTCCCTGAAGAAACACTCTCCATAGGTTCTTCCTCACATGGGCTCCTCTATGTTCTGGTGAAACCCTTTCACTGCCTGGGGCCATAGAAAAGGTCAGCTGCTTTGACAGCTGTGCTTTTCAAGGCTCTTGCACTTAGACCTTCTCAATGCATTTGTACAGATTGGGGTGGACGGTTTAGGGGTCAGGGGTTTGCAGGAATGAGGGTTTTTTTTTGTCCCTGTTGGGGGAGGGGTTAGGGGTTCAAAGCTTCGGGTGATGCACGGTACTGAACCGGCGAGCAAGACATGGCTGAAAGCGGCTCCGAGATGGCGTCGAGAAAGGGCTCGTATGGGGTTCGGGTGTGGTGGGAATCCTGGGAGAGCCATCTGCGAAGCGCGCCAAGATAAGACCCACCTCCCAACTACAATAAGCATCTAGAGTCTAGTGGAAGTTTCGTGGCACTGGCCGGTCCCCTTAAGCTGGCATAAAGCGGAAGCCGTAAAGCATTCGGGCCATCGGGCTTTAGGAGAGGGTTTTTGGGAGGGTCTAGGGCCTAGGGCTTAGCATTCAAGAGCGTCGGGACTGTCGGGATTTTCTCAAGATTAGAAGGGTTCTAGGCTAGGATCGTACACCCACAAGGGATCCTTCCATAGGGGCCTTACTATCTAGATGTCTAGAATTTGGCTTTTGGTGTACGCTATGGTTGAAAGGGGACTGTATGGGGATGGCATTGCCAACTCTTGAGACTCCCACGTTGATCGGGCATCCGAGCATATGGGAGACAGCAGCAGCGCCTTGCAGCTGTACTTTTTTCAGCTTCCACCGCTGGGGGCACTTTTGGCTCAGAACGTCAGAGAAAAAGCGCCTAGCACACGTAGCACACGGGTGCGTGCTGGGCCTGTGCATGCACCACACTTGAGTTGCATGGATGTGCAGGGAAATCCGCAACCGTCACGGAAGCCAGGAAGACAAACCTGCTGCTAAGAACGGCGTCCAGTCAGTGGTACCTTGGAAAAACCACTACGACGCTCTGACAACTGCTGTGACGCATACAGCAGGGAGCACAGTCAGATGGAAATCACCCCTCTGGCACATTGTTGCCAACATTGCATGCACTATACGTTTGAATTTCGGCCACGGGCATGCGGCTGGAGGTTTCTGGACTCGCGACCAAAATGACAACCCAAACCCTCTTCCGCGGCACGTGCATCAGCCTCCAGCACGTGTGGGCCACTGAATGCCCGCAAATTCGGGAATTCAACCAAAAAAACAGATCCTGGACAGCTGCTTTCCGCGAGTACGTTTTCTGACATCTAACAAACATAGTCTAGGATACAGATACTAGCAGATGACGAGACATGCATTCATGACTAATAAGAGACACAGTTGCCCAAACATGATGTACAGCCAGGTGCCGGCAAAGGTGGGACCTGTCTAGACACAACGAAATAGACCAATATGCACTCTGAAAGACTTAGTGCAACGCTGTACGTAAACAACCCCAAATATGCCTGAATCATCCTTAAAAATATGTATGTTGCACTTCTTACATCGTCTTGCACTGCACCATACAGAATCCTGTACTGTCGTAGAGTATGAATCGGAACAACAAACATCACACATCAATCAACAGCTCGAATCAGCCGCGATGCACACAGTTCACTAGAACTTGAGACAAATTTTACAGTAATGGAACATGGTTTAAGGATGATTAAAGGACTCCCTTTGGTATGGGTCTTGGGGTAAGGGGATAAGGATGTTCCAACTTTTTGGAGTTTACTGTAGATATCCTAATCAACAATGCCCCTCCATAATTAGCGAGATCCCCTCGTGTTTCCCTCACATGTGCAGCATAGATCTATGTTATGAACCATGGAAAGCCGAGGGTGGCCAGGACGAGCCGTGCTTTGCCAGCGGGGCGCGGGCTTTCTGGAACATCTCCCGCCTTTCAGACTCCTCCAAGCCTGCTTGGGGCGTTTTGGGGGGGTAACAAGTTTCGGATTTATGGCTTTGGGTTTGGGGGGTCTTCACCCTACACCCTAAACCCCAAACCCTAGGGGTGTTCCTTTTTGTTGCTACGACCCCAAGCTTCGTTGAGTCTGGCTCCGTGGCATTCCGGAGAACCACGTAGAGCTTCCGAGCCCCGGCCTCCGTCGGCCCATGGGGACTCTTACCCAGGCGCCGCTCCTGGGGTTTTCTACCGTTGAGGCCGGAGGGTGGAGGGCGGAGGGTTCTAGGGGTTCTTTGGGGTTCTAGAGTCTGGAAGGTTTCACAATGTCCCTCGACGGGTTTTCGTGGGCCTTTCTTTGCGTTCTAGCAGCATTATGTCTGTCTGTATGTATGTCATGCGCATGAATGTATGTAATGGCCAAGTACGCAGTCTACGGGATCTTCGTGAAGCCATTGAGTGGCGACTGGGTTTTCAGCCTGGTTCATGGAAAATCTGCAAATACATCAGCCAGCTGAAGAGGTGGCTGATGTGATGAGTCAGGAACCAAGTGCCTGAATGATTCGGATGGACGCGAATTTTACCGTTCGCTTAATTTGGGAACCATATCCTTTCCATCCTGAAGAGAGATCAGCCCCGGGTTGAGCCCGAAGAGCGTCAGGGAGCTTTTTGGCACGCAGACACACGCCACGAGAAGGAAACTCACAACGCCCACTACGCAGGGACTCCTGAGAGCCCTCTGGCGCGACTCCATCAGCTCCTCTTCATCGTCGAAGGCACAAGCAGGTCACCGGAGGAGCCTTCTGGCATCAGGAATCGGGACGACCCAACAAAGTCGTCTAGGGGCCTAGCTGCACGCAGCTCGCGTGCATCGTATCTCGCTATGCTTTGCATGTATGTGGAAGTAATGTACTTCTACATCCGCCGTGTCGACAAAATTGCTGGCATGTGTCTGCTTCAGGCGCAGCTGCCTGCATGAGCCCAACATGGATCGATGAGCCGTCCGAAGGAATCGCACACAAAGTC